AAGAGTATTGAATGTACCATGGACTGCCAAGAAAACAAACAAATTCATCCTGGAGAGGGTTAAACCAGGCTGCTCCTTGGAGGCAAGGATTCTGGGCTTCGTCTGACATACTTTGGACATGTTGTGAGGAGAGACAGGTCCTTGGAGAGGGACATTATGCTGGGCAGAGTGGACGGATGGCGCAGTAGGGGAAGACCCTCTCTGAGGTGGATTGATTCAGTGACTGGGGTAATCGGGATGGGTGTGTCAGAGGCAGTGCGATTGGCACAGGATAGAGCACGGTTTAGGGCTGTTGTACATAGGGTCACTATGAGTCACAAGTGACTCGACAGCACATAACAACAACAACAATGTAGACTTGGACTGAGTAGAAACCCAAAATAAAACAAAACAAAAAAAACAAGTTGGGATATATCAAAAGGAGTTCTGGTGGCAGTTTCACAGCTAACCAAAAGGCTACACATCTCTGGAAGTTCAAATGCACAAACAACTCAATGAGACAAAGGTAGACTATCTTCTCCAGTGACTGTTTGAGCTTTTGGAAGTCCAATGTGGGTGTTACTATGAGTCAGAATTTGACTTTGTGACAGTGAGTTTGAATTTTAAGGAGTCCTGATGATGTTGCTGTTAAAGTGCTAAGGTATAATCCAAAATGTCAATCATTCAAACTCACCAGATACTCTTGGGGGGTACAGGGCAGGGGTGGAAATGGAAGTCTGCTTCTGTAAGCACGCACAACCTCAAAAACTATATGGGGCAATTCTACTTTGTCCTACTGTGCCACAAGGAATTGGAATAGACGTGAGTTTAGGATTAAAAAATATATGCAAAAGATACATCATATTTTAAAGAACTGATCATCTCCCTAATCCCATCAATTGATTATATAGGCTGTATGCTAATAAGATAGCATTTTTAATATATTGGGTTGAGTAAAATACATTAATTGCATCTGTTTGAGATAACTTTTTAAAATTAAGCACAAGAAATTGAAAACTACTCGATGCTTCATTTTATATATTAGTGGTTGTTATTGTTATTGATTGTCATTGCGGCGAACATGAATCATAGTGACCCTATGAACAAAAGGCCTGAAGTCCCTCCACAGCTATTGACATTTATCAAAGTTTGTAGAGTTTCTGGAGGCATGTTGTTTTGGAAGTGGATGCCACTGCTGTTTCCAAACCTGTCATAGTATGCTATTGTTGTTCTGTGCCATTGAGTCACCTGCGATGTACAGTGACCCTAATTACAGCAACTCTGAGCCTTTCCCTGTCCTGAGCCAGTCTCACGAATTCCTATACATGAACCCCCATTGCCCCTGTCACTGTATCAATCCATGTCATCTGGGGTCTTCCTATCCTGTACTGTCCATCCATGCTTTCTCCAAGGACTGATTGATTTCTCCTGGTCATGTGCCCAAAGTCAGTGAGGCAGAGCTTCAAAATCCCAGCCTCCAAGGAGAAAGTTGGTTTCAACCTCTCCAAAACAGATTTATTTGTTTTCTTGGCAGTCCATGGTATGTTCAGGACTCTTCTCCCGCACCACAACTCAAAGGTATCTATTCTTCTTCTGTCATCTTTAGTCATTGTCCAACTCTCTGAAGCATAACAAGTAATTGAGAAGACCATAGCCTGGATCAGGGGCACCTTTGAATCTAGACTCTCATCAGTGCTCAGCAGCACTCTGGAGAGGTCTGTGAAAGCAGATTTTTCCAGTGCAATTCATTTTTTTATGTCCTGCCTGATGGTGTTAAGAGTGTTATTTTTTGATCCAAGCAAACTGTAATTGTTAACAATCTCAATCTCTTCTCCAATTGGCTCAGTGGTGAGAATCTTTGTCTTCTTAATGTTGAGCTTCAATCCATATTGAAGACTACAGTCCTTGACTTTTTGCAGCAAGTCCTTCAGGTCTTCTTCAGCTTCTGCAAGCAAGGTTGTGTCATTAGCATATCGTAGGTTGTTAATGAGTCTTCCTACAATCTTGATCCCATACTCCTCATAGAGCCCTGCCTCCCGAATGATCTGTTCTGCATACAGATTGGAAAGCTATGGGGATAGTATGCATCCCTGACACACACCTTCCTGATTTTGAACTATGCTGTGTTTCCTTGCTTTGTTGTGACAACTGCTTCTTTGTCCAAGTATATGTTTCATATAAGCACGATCAAATGTTATGAGATTCCCATTTTCCTCAAGGTTAGCCACAATTTATTGTGATCCACACATGAAACACAGATAGAAATTCTTCTGGTATTCTCTGCTCCCTGCCAAGATCCATCTGACATTGACAATAATGTCCCTTGTGCCACAACCTCTTCTAAACCCAGCTTGTATTTCTGGTAGTTCTCTGTCAATGTACTGTTCAAGTCTTTTCTGGATAATCTTCAGCAGTATTTAGCTGGTGTGTGATACTGTTCTGTAATTTCCACACTCTGTTGGGTCATGTTTTTTTAAATATGGATCTCTTCCTGTCAGTTGGCCAAGTAGTTGTCCTCCAGAGTTCTTGGCACAACTTGGTTAGCACATGCAGAACAGCATCTGTTGGCTGAAATACGTCAAGTCCATCAATTACAGGGGCTTTATTTTTTTTCCAAGTCTTTCAGAACAGCCTGAACTTCCTCTTTCATCAACTTTGACTCTTGATTATATATTGTTGCTTGAAATTTTTCTGTTTCAGCCAATACTTTTTGATACAATGACTCTGTATACTCTTTCCATCTTCCTTTAATGTTTCATGAATTATTTAATATTCTGCTCATAACATCCTTAAGCATTGCAACTTGTGGCTTGAATTTATTCTTCAGTTCTTTAGCTTGAGAAATGCTGACTTGTATTGCTAGATAATAATTCTATATAATAAGTATGGTTTGTGTGAACATTAGTGATTACACATCTGGTACATAATACACACTCCTAAGTTTTAGTTTTAACAGTATTGTTTTATGGTCAAGTTCAAAGAAGAAATTATCTTCAGCAGAACACCAACAAGTGACCAGAAACAGTGCATGTCACAGAGGAAGCTCAGACTAGATCCTGAAGGTACAAGGAAGGTATGAGGGAAGAAGCTGATTGGCAGAGGGTTAGCCCATGGACTAAGGTCAGCAGATTTACACTGTTCCCAAATAGATACTTTTGCAGAAGACAAAGCTGATTTGGATGTCCAGCTATAACAAAGAAGGAGTCAGAGCTGTGGATCGCAAGTGAGGCTTATGTGATATTTCTGGCTCTTTTGAAATGTGTCATTTCAAAAGGTGAAATATTTCATCCACTTAAATTACTATTTCACTTTTATATAAAGCAGCTAAAGTTTGTTGTATAATTCTGGTTTCTTATTCCTTTGAAACAAGTGGAAACTGTTTAGTATGATTTTATTCTCTAAATTCTCTGAATCGGAATAAGGTAGCACAAACAAGTAGCACTTTCTAATCTTAAAGCTAGTGGTTAGAACCCACCCATAGGCAAAAGGCCACAGTTTTGAAAACCCTCTAAAGCAGTTCCACTTTGCATGTGTGGGGTTGTTTTCAGTCTGAGTTGATCAGTTATCACCACTAACTGGGTAGGCAGATGATGGAACTGCCTATGATTGCCCTGTTACTCTGATTTTATTGGGGTTTTATTGCTTCCTCCTCCCTTTTCACTATCTTAATAGTACATATGCCAGTCCAGAACTTGATGAAAATGGAGTTCTAGCTTGTTTTGAAGTTCACTGGTCCTTAGAATCCTGGTTGCTGCTATTTTCAGTGACCCATTTTCCAAAAGGCCCTGAGCTCTGACCTTTCATCTAGGGAACTGGCTTGTTCTGTAGAGCTGAGTGGCTTCTGTAGCTTCAAGAAGTTGTAGAAAAAGAGAAATGTGATATTCATATTAATCAGAGACAAAAACCAAACTAAGTAGGATTTTCATGTATTTATTTCATCACATTTTGTTTTTAATTCACATCCAATAGTGTGCCATCTTAATTTTATATTGTATATGCATATGAATATATGAGCACCCATTATTGGATTTATTACTATAAACACATATGCCAGTTTAGAAATAAATATTTGAAAAAGTTTGACACACTTCCTTTAATTTGTACAAAGAAAGACTTTTCCCCCCTCATTTCCCTTTATCAGAAATCCAAATCCTTCAGTGTCTTGAAGCAGTATAACATTTTCCTGGTGATTATGACTACCCTGCAGATTTTAGTCAAATAGACTGGAGCGTCTGCCCACAAATAAGCAAAGCAGATATAAACTGATAAGTCCCTGGGGATATCCCTTATAAAGAGTAGTGGACCACATCACAGTAACAAACCAGGACAAGAAAAGACAAATGGAATTTCTGAAACTGTTTTCTCTGACACCCAAGTGCTAAATTCAGTGGCTTGTTCCTAGAGACTTGACTACATGTCTGCAGAAAAAGAAAATTGTATGCCTTACTGCTGAATGCCTTCTGACTCAATTTTTGATGGAATTAACTAACAGAAGACATAAATACTTGTTCTTGAAGCTAACTTTTTTGCCTGCTATTCTTAACCCCTCAAAAGAAAAGAAAAAAATAGCTTGTATTGTTTTATTTTGCTCGTCAGTCAATATGTTTAGTAAAAAACAAGTCACATTTAACATTTGGTTTAAAAAGGTATTCACATACATGTTGAAAATTGTTGACTCAAAATTGGGTTTACATGAGTGGGTTTTTTTTTATTATTTCTTTTTGAACAAATAAAATTTTATTATTTGATTAAATCTATTCTTGCTGTTCCAAATGGGGTTTGAGACTGGCACAAGAAAACTATCAGTGTTCCTGGAGTCACTTGTGTTGACTCAAATGGTGCTCTACCTAGTATATTGAATAGGCCCAAATTTCATCATTTGAGATTTTTTATAGGCTTTTATAAAAATCTTAAATACAGTAAATATGTAAACACTATGCTCTCACAGAGCTAGTTCTTAGATGTGTCACTTGGCATTCCTTCCAGGGAGACAGATGCAAACAAAACATCACCAGTCAGGTTCAAAACCAGCCATTGGAATTATTTTCTGGTTCCGGGGGAAATACCACCTTACACATATCAGAGTTCTCTTGATGGAGTGGGAATTCAGATCCTGCTATTAGCTTTTCTTTTCTTTTCCTAGAGACATAACCTTTGCCTGTGGACAGCCGTTCATACTTTGTCTCAAATTGCCTGCGTGACAAAAATAACAAAAGCAAAAAAAAAATTAAAGGTGTTTGTGTGATTCAAATGGAATGCATCCTGAAGCTTCATTTTCAAAGCAATTTAAGATAAAAGTACCACAAATTGCTAGCTTCTATTCTCAAGAAAGAGGTTATTTCCCCATTTTATTTTTTTTTAAATACTAACAGATAATATTTCAAATACCTGGAACATCAGAGGTTAAAGGCAGAATGAATTCCTTTCAGTTCTTTGGAGATGCTTTTAAGTTTTGTACCCCTTGCTATGTTTCCCACCCCTAATTCCGGTAGCCCCACCTTGGGAACACTCCCTTTCCTAGCTGGACTTAAGAGAAGAATGCTGACAGGGAAACATTCCCAGAATTCTGGCCCAAGTGAAATGTTCAACTAAACCACACAGCAATGTATCTGGGTTGGTGTTCACTGTATTTTGATCATTGGGAGTTTTTGTTTTTCAATATATTTTCAGTGGATTTCCTAAATACAATTAGTATAAGTTAATAAAGATTTACTATTTTAACTACAGCCTGCAATCTCTTATGCTAGAAAAACATATCTTATTAATATTTATATGTGTGAATATGTTTACAAAAATCCCTGTCGTGTATGCTATATAATCCTATGGATTATGAAATGTCAGGAAAATAAAGAAAACATTCAGTTCTGGCCTATTTGTCAAAGGAAAGGCTGTAAAACAAAGTGGCTTATTGTTTTAAATCTACAACTTGCCTTCAGAGATATGTAATGCATATTAAGCAAACTTCTACACCTTCTGTTGATAAGAGTCAATGCAATCTAAAACTAATGAATTCAGTTTGTCCTTCAGCTCCAAAGAAGTACAATTGACTACAAGATCCGAAGGATACTCTTGAAATCAGAATTAGTTCTAGAGTGGAAGTAGAGTATATGAGATGACAAGAAATTGCATGAAAATTACTTATGTTTTTTAGAACATTAAGAACACTACTGCAATCTTTAAAAAAATCATATCTATCTCTATCATATCTATCTATCTATCTATCTATCTATCTATCTATCTATTTATCTATCTATCCATCCATCCATCCCAGATTCTCAAGATTAAACCAAGATTTAAAGTCAAGTTAAACAAAGTCGATTTTATGAACTTTCTGGAAACAGTAAATTCTTCTGGGCCTTTAAACCATTGTAAATGGATTGTCATTGCTTATATGTGTTTTTATATTTTTGACCAGAATACAATTGTGAAGACACAGTAAATATGTACAGTTACTTTTGCTGGTTAAAACAATTTGTCAGCTCCCTTGGTAAAGCAAATCCACTTGTTTCCCTGATAAACTACTTCTGGATTAGAAAAGGATATTTATCTCCAGAATTCCATAACTAAATTATTAGAATGTCTTTGTATCACAGAAACTAACTTTTCTTGTCGTTGTTGTATACTGTTGAGTCAGAAATGGCTCATAGTTGACTCTCCGGAAGGTTTTCAGAGGCTATAAATAGCCCATCTCTTTCCTGCAGAACAGCTGGTGGATTTGAACTATGCACCATTGTACAGAACTTTTCTTGGGCTTATTAATTACTCTTTTCTTTATTTAAAGAACATGTTTATTTCTCTGGGTGGCTACCGTTTTAATACTAAAGTGGAATGTTAATAACTGAATGAAAGTTCTTAGTGAAGGTAGGATGCCCTTAGACCATTCCATGAATACTTCTTACCTGTATGGAGCTTCGTCCTTGTCCATCTGCATGCAAACCAAGAATGGGTACTGAGAGAATTTCACTGTTGAGATGAACTCCAGCCCTGCTTCTGTTTCTGCACTGATTCCCAGACCAGTCTTCACAAAAGAGGAGTCCACTGTGATGTCTCCGGTTATCACCACAGCCACACTAGATATTTTTTGGGGAAATTTCTGTTAGCATGACATTTTCATTGAACTTGACTCATAGTTCTAGTTTCTCAGGATGTGAACACAAAACACTGATGACTGGAAGGAAATAAAGTACTGATGGGTAACTTCAACATGCTTTGAGTTCTACTAGTCATTAAGGGTTGACTAGTCCCTGTATTGGGCATCAGGGTCCTGTTCACGCTCCCTAATTTTCATCTCTAGATATAAGAATAAAATGTATCTTTTGGGCACCATGTTTGCTATGGAAATACCAAGGACCTAAATAAAGATGCATTTTCAACTCCTCTCTCTCTAGTCAATCAGGCATGGAAGGAGGCTGGGGAGGGAGTGTTAAGGCTGATGTGAATGAGACAAGAAAGGCCTCAGGTTACATGTGAGCCAATAGAAATCAAAGAGCAAATAAAGTGAGTAAGACTAGGCCCAACCTGAGCAGAACCAGGGGATTAATAGCTTTGGACCTATTAACAATCCTGACATTCATAGTAGAGGCTGCCTCTGGAGGTAGTCTGTTTTTAAGTTGCCTGGTAATATAAAAAATCAATAGATTGGAACCATTAAGCTCAGAAAAACACCAAAATGAGAAGCCATTTAGCTATATTAACATATGACATGTGTGACCTAATGTCCTTCCTGTATTAATTCTGGGAGATTTACCTGTCTCACTCTATGGGACATGTCTTGCTGTCACCTTCACTCTGGTCTTCTTAACTGTCCTCTCAACACATGCTCTAACCAGGGTTTGGCCTATGCTGGGATTGTCTTTGAGCTTCACAATGAGGCCCAAACCAGGAGATTTGTTCAGAGTCAATATTTTGTTGTCTCCCACCTAATTTATATTTTTGCCTAAACAAGAGCGGCCAAACCAGGGCATTCATTGCACATACCAGTTCCTTCTAGGAACATTGTGGCCACCTTTCCTATGAATAGCATCTTTTGATTGTTTTCAACTCTTGTATACATAGTTCAAAAGGTGTCAAAGCTTTCCTTTTATCACTTATCTCACTTCAGTCTCACTACACTTTTAAATATCTAAAAAGATAAAAATGAATCAAATGTCTATTTCCTTTTTTAAATTCTATAACAAATATGATAAAATTATTTTTATCAGTGTACTAGTTCAGAGACAATTTTATGTTCAAAATAAAATATTTTTCTCTTTTAAGTTCAATTTTTTTATTTTTACTGTTTTAAATTTAAATAGCATTCAGTTTATTACAAATATTTAGTATTGGCTTCCCATATTTCCCCCCTTTTGTTTTTATCATAATTATGTTATCATCTAGATGAACATCCTTTTATACACAAACAAACAAATAAAACAAATTAAACATAATAAACTCAAAGAAATACTTTCAAAAATCTCCATATGATCAGAAGGATTCAGGTTGAATAGTCCTTGAAAGTTTGTTTTAATTGTCCCATTGCCACATAAAATAAAATATTTTTTTAAATTTTTTTTTACTATTATTTTGTGTGCGTGTACCGACAAATCATATCTGACTGGTACAGGAGGATATTGTGCCTTCTTTTCTGGCAGAGCATCTGGTGGATTCGAACCGTGTTCCTGTGGGATTGCAGTGCAGCTTCTTGCCACTAGGCCACCAGAGCTCCCCTCAAAATAAAATATTTTTTAAAAAAATATTTCCACAGAATATTTTGCTTTTCCTATTTTTTATATGTTACTACTTTTAGGTATCATTAAGTCAACTACAAGTCATAGCAACCCTATTAACGATAAATCTGAATTTCACCCTCGCCTGCACCATTCTCACAATCTCTAATATGCTAGAGTCCATTGTTGCAGTCACTGTATCAGTCCATCTTGTTGAGGGTCTTCCTCTCTTTCTTTAACCCTCTACCTTTCCCAGGATGATGTCTTTTTTCAAGGACTGACATCTCTTTATAACATACCAAATTAGGACAAACTAAAAGATCTGAGAGCAATTTCTTTGGAAAAAGAAATGTTAATGAAAACCCAATGACTAGCAATATTTAAGGCTAAGATTCTGCACAAAATAAGTAAGTTTCCCCCTACTCACTGAAGATAGCTAAAGAGAAAAGGTTTTAAACTTCAAAGAGAGAGAAAGTAAAAATGTTAGCTTCTAAAATTCCCTTAAAGCATAGTATCAACTAAAGTATCAAGAGAAAAATACTTCACTCATGGGATATGCTGTCTGTAGATGTCTTTTTTTTTAAGATGTCTTTAAGAGTGAGAAGATTTCTCTGTGAGCTCTATTAAGTACTGAGAGCAGGATAATTCCCAATGTTGATTTCCAACTAACTGATTTAATGATTACAAATAAGCATATTGTTGCTGTGTGCTGTTGAGTCAGGACCCACCCTCCAAAGGGTTGTCAGAGGCAGTAAATTTCAGTGGAGGAAATTGCCCATCCCTCCCCTCTCAGCTATCTCATCCCTAGCAGCTCGTAGATTCCAACCGCTTGCCTTTGGGATTGCTGCACAGCTTCTTACCACTAAGTCACAAGAGCATAGTTTTAAGGAAATTCCTAATATATGGATTTGCAGTTCTTTGCGTAGAGTGTGATGTGTGTGTTGTGTACCACAGAGTCAGAACCAGCCCATAGCTTACCCTCTGGCAGGTTTTCAGAAGCAATTAATCACACAGGAGGAGATTACCCATCCTTCTCCCACGGAGCGGCTGGTGGCCTACCACATGCCTTTTGGATTGCAGCACAGCTTCTTTTCACTAGGCCACCAGACCTCCCTTGCGTAGAGTAGTACATACAACATAATGCTCACCGGTTTTTCACTCGCGTTTTGGATTCACGGTACCACAGACTAAACTCCATCGACCCTGAAATATCGATAGCTAGACCACCCTGAATTTCTGCGTTGGCCTTTAATCCAGACTGCAGCTGAATCTCCTAAAAGATAAAATAACAATGATTAGCTGCAATAACACTTTCTTTTCATGCCAAGTGGTTGTCAGCAGAGAGGACTTGCCAGATGGATTGGGGATATCTGGTCCAGAGTCCACCAGCATTTGGGCATGCTGGAATTTTAAAATACTGAAATGTTTGGCCATGCCTGCAGGCTGAGGGCTGCTAGTGTGTGTGTATGTGTTCAAGTTGGACCTTAGGATGGCCTCTCATGTCACTATAGAATGTTTGGGGCTCTTATGGCTTTCTTTTAGTACCAAGTGAGTGTCAACAAAGGGGACTTGCCAGATGAATTGGGGGTCTCTGGCTCAGAGTTCACCAGCATATGGGTGTGCCAGAATTTTAAAATACTATAGGGCCTGAGGGCCAAATTTAATTGATTTTGGATGAACCCTCTTTAGAGTGGTACAGCAGAGGTCTGTCTATTTGCTCTACCGAAATATCAGAGTTGCTGCGACAGTGAACAACTGGGCCATAGGTGGTGTGTCAAACACCATAATTGGCTACCCAATCATGGGCCGCTTTTGTTGGTGCTCCCAGGTTGATTCAGGTTTGGAAGCAAGACTGACATCCACTTCCTAAAGTACATGCCTATGGAAGGTCTAAAACCTTGGAGAAATATTTATAGAAAGGCTTCAGGCCTTTGTTCATCTTCTGTTTATATATGTATCTTTCCCTCATGTGTACTTAGTCTATATGGTGGAAAAGAATATTTCAGGCTATTAGATAATGTGCTTTTTGTGGAGAAGGGAGAATTTTCAACACAATACCAGGTTTGAGAAGTGCCCTGGCATTCTGCAAAGACTCCAGTTCTCCCATGCAAAGTTGCTTTGGAAAAGCACTTAAATGCAGTAACAGAAGAATCTTCCACTGACTCCCAATAGGAAGACAAACTGTGCATTGGTGTATTTTGTTAAACTTAACCACATAATGCACTGTTTCTTGTTTTGAGAGCAGAAAAAGAAATGCAACTAATAGTTTTGGTGCATCCAGTCTGTGTCCAAATCTTTACATTTGATATCTCATTCAATTCCTATACCAATCTTCCTTGGTATGAATTACATCTGAAAATTGAAATAAGAAGTCAGACTCAGAGGCTGTGCATGCATGGAGATGGAATGAAAATCCGAGCTGCCTTCAGGGTGGATTTATTTTTTTAATTACTAGACCCATGTCTCAAGAAGACAAGCCTCCCTTTGTCTCCTGATATGAAAAGGAGAAATGTCCTGAAAAGTAGTGCAAGCCAACACCACCCCTAATTTAAAAAACAAAACAAAACAACAAAAAAAAGTCCCAAACCACGGAGCAAAGGCTTTTATTCTCATTTGACCGTGAATACATATTTATTTAAATTCTTGCTCATGAACTAGAGAAACAAGATACCGGAACTTTGTAATTGTACCTAATATGTCCCTTCTGATCTTTCACCTTTGGTCCTGCAAGTGCTTCTTACAGCTCAAACACTGACTTTGTGACACCTCAGCCCACTGCTTTCATTTGGGAAAATATATTCTTTGCTAGCTAAAAAATGTTCCCTTATTAAGCCGACTTATTAGGCATCATTCTCTGAAGAGTAATGCAATTAATTGAAAAAGAGAACTCGAGCACAGTAATTCCATCTGCCCTGGTAGCTGTGACAGGCCACCCACTGCCAAATTTCCTTCAATGTCAGCACTTGACCTAGAGAGGTATGTGTCTCTGAAGCTGGGATGGCATTGTTGGAGTACACTACAGTGTCAGGGAGCCTCAAACAGATTGTCTGTATAATAACCCCAAATCTGTCAAATAATCCAATAAGAAATACTCAGGCATTGAGTTATATTTAGCAGCTAGGCAACAATCTCTTTTCTTACAAAGTGCTTTGGATGAAAAGCTCTTTGAAATTAGGGTTTAGCAAATTAGGGCATGCAAGCTTATCTGGCCCATTGGCTACTTTTATAAATAAAATTTTATTGAGGTGCATTCACATTCATTTGTTAGATTGCAGAATTAAGGAGGTATAACAGAGCCTTTACGGCCCATAAAAGCTAAAATATTTACTTTCTGACTTTTTCCAGGAAAGAATTTGCTAATCTTAATTTAGAATACCATGCATGTTTACACAGAGAGCTGGATTTTTAAAATTATTTTGGGTCTTATCTTTTTTATTTTAATTTTACTTTTTTATCATGCAAATACTCCACACACTTTGCTTCACTGACATTATGTTTCACACAATCATTCTCATACATTATGTTTTATAAAATCAATCATCATTGGACTATGCCCATCATTACCCCACACATAGAGTTTTACACTTATATTTGAATCATCAGGCTTTGCTGATGGGTCGTGCCTCACACATGAATCATACTGATCTGCTATTATGCCAGTGTCTTAGAATCTAGATCACGTCATCACTTACACCTTTGTTAGAGGATCTGTCCATTAAGAGTATATCTCACTACGGGTGACATTCCATGAAATGACTAATGTAAAATTTTACTATAATCTACAAACTTTTTCACCTACATGAACCTAAGGATTAAGGAATGTGACAGTCACTATTGGTGGTCCATCCATCTTTTCACAGGTAGTAGCAGACATACAGTCTTGTTCAAAATATCAAAATACCCATTGAAAAACTGAATTTACCAGCTTCCTCTGCAGCTAGGATGTTACATATGACAGGGTTTTGTTAATAATATTATAGGTAGAGATTCCATCAAAGTTCTTAAAATTGAGTCTGGCTTTAATTCTACTGTCCCTTTTCCTCCCCTGCTTTCTTGCATATGGCTGTGGTGCTAGAAGTGGAGTTGCTATCTAATCATCATTAAGTGATAAGTATGAGAATAAAATTCACAATTAAGTATAACTGAGCTGAAGGAAAAAGACCTTGGATTTCTATAACACCTTAAGGCTCCGTCTGAGCTGGAGTATTTCCAATTACTTGTTATACAAACCTGTTTTGTCAAGGCACTTTAAATTGTGAATTTGCTAATACCCAAGTATCAAGAACTGGAATAATATGAGGAATAATAAAAATAAGCAATTCACATTTTTATCAGCTCTAACCAATATTATCTTAAGAACCCCTTTTTATACAGGGTGTAAATTGCCCAGCTGCTCACCAAGAGGTCAGTAGTTCAAATACATCAAGTATTCCATAGTTGAAAAATTGACAATTTCCTCATGAAAAGATTTATAGCCTCAGAAATCTAATGAGTGTTGATACGAGTTATACTCAACTCTGTAGTTGTGGGTAATACTGTTTTGGAGGATTTTAGTAAAATCTGATATAAAGGGTTCTTCTCTCTCAGCCCTTAAAGTATACCTCTTTATAGCTATAACCATATAAATTGTAATCCTCAAATTATCTGGCAAACAACAACAAAGCTGCTAAAATATCTCTATCACATTTTTGAAATATTTTATTTGTAAGAAAATGTAGTTAAAGGCTGTTATTTAACTGCTTAAAAGAACATACAAAAAGCAAGAAGACAAAAGTAAAAAGCACACTCTACTGCATTCATTAATCTATAAAATCAAATTCCCTCAGTATTATCTGGGAGTTAGACACTTCATTTCAATCTAGTATGTAAATCATACTGAGACGAGACTTCTGATCCTTCTTTCCACAGGGTCATTTGTGGATTTGAACTGAGGGAATTGCATAGCGTTTGAGTTAACAGCACAACTCACTATGAATTGCAGCACCAGAGAAATATCAGAAAGTGTTATTAATAGAACATGGGCTTCAAGGTGGTTGGAATTTTATTTTGGACAATGACTAGGGAGGATAGAAGGAGAATTGATGCCTTTGAGCTGTGGTGCTGGAGAAGAGTATTGATTATACCATGGACTGCTAAGAAAACAAACAGGTTTGTCCTGGAGAGGGTAAAGCCAGCCTGCTCCTTGGAGGCAAGGGTTCTGAAGCTTCATCTGACATACTCTGGACATGTTGCAAGGTGGGATCAATCCTTGGAGAGGGATGTCATGCTTGGGAGGGTGGAAGGACAGCGCAGGAGAGGAAGACCCTCGATGAGATGGATTGATTCAGTGACTGGGGTAATGGGGTTAGGCGTGTCAGAGATAGTGAGATTGGCACAGGGTAGGACAGAATTTAGGGCTGTTGTACATAGGGTCACTATGTGTCACAGATGACACGGTGCCACATAACAACAACAACATCCCCCCCTAAGAACAGATCCACCTTAGAATATGTATGGTCCATGTGAAGGACTCAATAAACATTTGTAGAATGAAGGAGTTACCTGAGAATGATCTATCAGCAGAATAAGTCCTTTCACCACACTGACAGGATCGCTAGATGCTGATAACATCTTGGACATCAAATCACTGTATCCATTGAAAAAAGTGACAGGTCTGAGCTGAACATCAAAGAGGATGGGTGACATGCCAGCATAGGAATCAAGGTTCTCCTCCCCCTCATCAGGAGTGGCTGCAATTAAGGTCTCCAGTCCTTGAGCTTCAAGAACCACCTAGGAAGAAAGCAATAGAGCACATATGACACAAGGCATCTGTACTAGATGATGAGGTTTGGAGCTACAGCTAGAACTTCTCAATCGGTCAAGTGTATGAATACCTGAAGACTTTAGGACAATAAAAAATGAAAATATCAATGGTGACTCATTTTTAAAATACAATGTATGAGAATGATAGTATGAAACACAATATTAATTAAGGAATGTGTGAAACACAATGCATATGAATGAAAAACAATGTGTGTGAATTTTATATGCAAACCAAAACAAATATTTTTTAAAATAAGTAAACATGTGAATATTTGTGCAATAAAAAGTAATATAGAAAGTGAAGAGGTGTGGTCCATTTAATCCTCACAAATACTTTACCAGAAATAAAATTATTTTATGCGTTTTGCAGATGAGAAAACAACAGCATAAGTTCACCCAACTAGTTCACCCAAACATCTTCTGTTTGAGTCCAAATCTCTTGCATTTTTCTTCCCTTTTATTATGTCAGCCTAGAGACTTTTCATCTGCAACTAGGGACCTCTCCAAATTATAAAGGAGGAATGATGCCAGTTTGAGGACTAAGTTGCGTCTGATTCAGGCCATCATTTTCTGATCACTTGCTATGTATCTGAGAGCTGGATAAGGACCAAGGATGACAAAAGGAAAAATTGACGCCTTTCAGCTGTGGTGTGGGAGGAGAGCACTGAACATCCTATGGACAGCCAAACGAACAAACACATATGTCTAGGAAAGGGTGAAGCTGCAGTGTTCTTTTGAGGCAAGAATAAGTCTTCACCTCATATACTTGGTCATCTTGCTAGAAGAGGCTATTCCTTGGAGAAGGACATGATATTGGGAAAGGTGGAGGGTCAGTGAAGGAGAGGAAGACCCTCAAACAGGTGGATTGATGCAGTGACTCTTGCAATGGGTTCTTGTGTGTCAGGAAGTATGAGTATGGTACAGGATAGAACAGGGTTGAGATCTTTTGTTCACAGAGTTGCTATGAGTTGTGCTCAGCTCGATGGCACCTAACAATAACAACAACGACAAGAGACTTTTAGTCTCTCCTGGAATGCCATAGAGCAGATCAGGAAGACAGGAAATCAGTCTAGATGCTGAAGTTCAATTCTCTCTGCAATGAGCATGTCTAAACCTGAGGATCAAATATTCAAATGTAGGCACAAAGATGAGAAGGCAAGAAGGGTTAGGAAAGAATGAGGGTGGAAAGAGGAAACACAGGGTGGAAGTGGGATGAGTAAAGTCACTTCATGAAATTTGTAATCAATGTCACAAAACAAAATGTGTATGAATGATTCAAAGGAATAGCATTTTGCTCTGTAAACTCTCACCCTGATTGTGTGTGAATTGATATTTGAAAGACTGATATTCTCTGTAAATTGTTACTAAAGTCACAATAAAAAGTTGAATAAAATTCAAGTTCAAAGTACATTCTTGCAGGGAATGGAGTGCCGTGGTAGGATAGTAAAAAAGAACTTTAACATGAGGTCACTTCTATTAGTGAGTTTTGAGATCTCTGAGCCATGGGTCACTGCATTCCATGTCAAACTTTTCTCTCTAATTAAAAATGAAAAGATGAGAAACACCGTGAGAGGCTTTACTCTCTGATCTCTACCATCTGTAGAAGTCCTGTACAGTTTGTTTTCTACACCCAGCCCCTTATCTACCAAGAGCTTTGCATTTTAGAGTGCATATTAAGGAACAGATGGTGATTCCTTAGGACAGAAGGGAATAGCATTCTATCTATAGTCCTGTCAAAGAGGTTAGCAACACAGTATTACTAAGTTATCAAATTCGTAGCACTGTATCATTTTGAAAGCTTATCTATAACAATATTTGCAAGAGTATAATTTGATAGCATGAAAATTACCAAGGTATTATATTTCACATATATAAAGCCTTTAGAGATTGTTTTCAAATTTTGGGTAAAAATGAAGATACTGAATTTAGTTCTTTATCAAATGTCTGTCCATTGTTTCTCTCTTAGCAGTAATAGATAAAATATATATATACATATACATATACATATACATATACATATACATATACATATACATATACATACATATATATTTTTTTCACATTCTGTTTTGAAGATTTATTTCATAATTGTTGTTGGCATGTGCTTTTGATTCAGAACCAACTCACAGCTGACTCTTCAGCGGATTTTCAGAGACTGTAAATCACATAGGAGGAAATTGCACATCTTTCTCTCAGCCACTGGAGGATTTAAACTGGCTGCTTTTGGACCAGCAGGGTAACTCTTTTTAGGCCACCAGAGCTCCCTTATTTAAGACCTTGAAGGCTCAATCTTTTTCTTGAAGACCAGTCAAGGAAAACACATTCTAGAATTAAATACATGGAGTTCTGAGGGATGGTTGAGAATAAAGTAAAATAGGAAAAGTTGACACAGATTCAATTTTGTGACTATGTGTACTTTTGTGAAGACAAATGTATGTTTGGCTAATCCATTGAGTCAAATGAATTAGGATTAGGCCTCATGTTCATATTTCAAACTTTCTCTGAGACAATAAATCACAGTGAACTCACTGGTGATATGGTGGATAACTTTGCATGTTTATTTGGGTAAGCAGTTAGGTGGTCTCACACGAGTCTAGATGCTGTTAGAAAGTAGTTGCATGTGATTAAGTCAGCTAGTATGAAGTGATGCAAATTATACTCCATAATGTGGGTGGACCTAATTCCATCTTTAAGAGGAGTTCTCCTTAGAGTATGTTCCACTTTTAAACTAAAAATATAAATTTTTCTAGACTCTTCATTCATCCCTTCAACTGGATTAAAGATTTTGAGACACAAGACTACAGAAATTACCAGTCTATTCCCCAAAGTACATATTTTGGACTTGATAGTCTGACACAATCATATGAGCCTTTTGAAAAACAAAAATATAAATGCTCTTTAGGGAGTTGGGGGTGGGGAGAGAGAGAAGAAGAAAGAGCTATATATCTTAGTAATTTGTTTCTCTTAAGAATTCTGGCTAAGAATGGTGAGACAGGGCAGAGGGCATCAAAGCTTATAGTGTTATTATCAATATATGTTTTCTCTTTCTTGACTAATTTCTTACATACCCAGAATCTAGTTTTACAGGCAAGCCTTGACTTGCTGAAATGCCCTGAATGTCGCCGAGCCCGGTGAAATTCTGAGAGTACGATGGGAATTACCTGATTTAGGGAGGGCATAAGGAGGTTGGTGGTACCAATAGCTAAACACTCAGCTGTCAATCAAAGGGTTAGCAGTTTGAACCTATCCAGTGTTTCTTGAGGAGAAAGATCTGGAATCTCCTCCTGTCAAGATGGTAGTCAAGAAAACCTATGGGGAAGTTCTCCTCTCTGACCTAAAGTCAATAGTGTTGGGGAAAATATATATATACAAGTTTCTTATTTATTAAGTAAATTTTGGGAAAGTGAGTTACCTGGCTAGCATGAAGGTGAGCCTTCCCAATGTATTGAAAGATGTTCAGGTTACTTCTCCTCAGAATTCCAGAACCAGAATAAAGAATATCAAGGCCATAAGTAGATGTTGCATAGGGATTACCTAATGAACAGAAAACCAGCAACTATGACTTAGTAAAAGCTCTAATGGTACCAAGTTGGGCTGGAAGGCAAATACCGGTTTGGGTTACATACGTTCTACATAACCAGTATAGGCAGAAGAGGATCCACTCTTGGCAAAACGGTCATAATTGTGAACAACCATTTCCTTCAGAACACGACGAATCATTTTGCTGCAATACATTAAAATAAAATTTTTAAAAAGCTGCACCTTCATTGTAACAATGGCTATTACTCATCCAGATTGGAAATCTATCAAATCCTCAGTTGAAAAAAGTGGGAGTCAAATTTTCCTCCTGGCACACCGCAACTGAGGGAAGTGCCGGAGGGACCTTCCGGATCAGGACATTTCCCTCCATTCTTCAGGTATTTGGAATGTAGTGTGATATCCAAATGGCAGCTAGGCTGGAGTGTCCAGCTATTAGATAGCTTATGTTAACTGATGGACATACCTCAGGACTGGAAAAGGTATTTTCTTCAAATCTTCATAATCTCATTGTTAAATACTGTATGTTGATGTTGTTATATGCCATTGAGTCACCTGCAACTTGTAGTGACCCTATCTATGTACAACAGCCCTAAACCCTGTTGTATCCTGTGCCAATCTTATTGTCTCTGAGACACCTACCCCCTTACCCCAGTTACTGACTCAATCCATCTCTTTGAGGAACTTCCTAACCTGCGCTGTCCCTTCACCCTCCGAAGCGTGACATCCTTCTCCAAGGACTGGTTCCTTCTTGCAACATGCTGAAAGGATGTCAGATGAAACTTCGGAATCCTTGCCTCCAAGAAGCAGCCTGTTTTGACCCTCTCAAGGATGAAAATGAACAATTGTTCATTCTTTTAGCAGTACCTGGTATATTCAATACTCTTCTTCAACTCCACAGCTCAAAGACATTAATTCTCCTTCTATCATCCCTAGTCATTTCCTATGCTTAGTAAGTAATTGCAAAGATCATGGCCTGGATCAGGCACACCTTGGTCTCCAGAGTTACATCATTGCTCTTCAGTACTTTGGAGAGGTCTCTAACAGCAGACTTTCCCATCACAATACTTCTCTTTTAAATTCCTGGCTGCTGGTGCCAAGAGTTGATTGTAGAGCCAAGCAAACTAAAGCTGTGAACAATCTCAAGCTCTTCATTCTTCATGATGCTGCCAATTGGCCCAGGGTTGAAATCTTTGTTTTCGTGACATTGAGTCTCAATCCATATTGAAGGCTGCAGTCCTTGACCTTCTGCAGCAAGCGCTTCAGGTCTTCCTCCATTTCAGCAAACAGTGTTGTGTCATCTGCATAATGCAGATTGTTGACAAGTCTTCCTCCAATCCTGATGCCATATTTCTCCTCAAAGATCCCAGCCTCCCGGATAACCTGTTCTGTATATAGTTTGAAAAGGTATGGAGATAGGACATATCTCTGGCATACACTCTTCCCAATTTTGAACTGTGCAGTCTGAATTCTTTAAACCATTGCTAACACTTGGTAATATGTATTTGTAATATTGAGCAGGACGCCTAGAGTAAAAAGGATTAAGTTCCAAATTACATGGCAAATGTATTTATTTATTTTAAAAATAGAGTTATTTTATCAACTTAACTTGAAATTTTCTAATTAGTTCTTTTATGGGAATTTTGACAAACTTTTTCGTTTCATGCAGCATAACACAACACAATGACTGCATCCGTATTAGTCACACATGCACCATACTAATCAGAAACAAGCTCAGGTAAGCAAAGAAGCAAGTTTTGCCCTGTGTCCTACCTTGCTGGCATTTCAAAACGTAGGATGTCGTGGATAGTGGAGAGCATATATTTGTTCATTTCCTTGGGAAGTTCCCCAATGGAAAGCAGGAGGTTTTTTACTTCCATGTAGGAAGGGTTGCTGTGTAAAAGGATAGCAGCTGCAGTAGTGCGCACAGTCTTCTCATGAACTTTACGATTCTGGTGGTATATCCTGTTCAAAGTCTTCTTCACCTGTTCATAAGATGTTCAGGTTTAGTCAGAGTACTTTTAGAATTAAAACTGCAAAAGAAATTATGAGTGTTCAGAAAAAAGATGCATGCAGTTCTAGAACTCCCAGCTTCCTTTCAGTTGTGCTATTTTTATATTAACTAGTTCTGGCTAATAAACTATGAAGAGAATTAATATGCACCACCTGTGGACAACTGAGGTGGTTAAGAGTTGGTAGGTCTTCTCTATGTCTTTCTCCCACTACTGTGTTGGAAAAGGGCCACATATTCTCTTATTCACATTGAATTAAAAATATGTTGCCATCAAGTTGGAATTGACTCATAGTCCACCCTCCAGCAGGCATTCAAAGTTTATAAATCACATGAGAGGAGACTGCCCACCATTCTCCCTCAAAGTCATTGGTGGATTCAAACTGCGGAGAAGCACCACCTTTAAGTTAGGACTACAGTTTCTATAGAATATGCTACCAGAGCTATCTTGTTTGTACTGAGTGTAGCATTAATGGGAGATAAAAACTTGTTAAATTGCTGGAATTTTTCAGGTTGCTTTTGTTCTGTCAATATCTGACTGATACAGATATTTTTAAGAAGATAATTGAAGTAGAGCGATGGACTGCAGTAAATTACCTCAGAACCTCTTTCTGTTTTTGTTTTAACAGAACAGGGACACACACCACCCCCACCCCATTAATGTAATAATCACATTTTATGGCAGCAAATAATTTCACTGTTACTCAATTTCAATTGCATTGACTAAGAAAATAAGGTGTGTAAAATTCTATACCAGACATTCTTTCTCCCCTGTATTTTTTCCTATTTCGTGCAAATCTTGCTTTTAGGTATAAAGTGGTTAAGTAACTCATCCAAGTGCAAACAATGAGGAAGGGCCTTGGACAGAATGTATACCTGGGTGTGTCTGTTTCAAAAGCCTGTAAGCCTAACACTTATACTTTACAACTCACAAACTTTCACACAACACTGATAGGAAGGTGTTTAGCTGCAAACTAGAAGCCAAACAGTTTATTTCTAGATTTACAAATATTCTGTGCCCTAAAAATTTTTTAATTTATATTGATTCCTGAAAGGTTGTAGAATAAACAAGGTAATACTTAATCCAACAGATGCCGTTGTTGCAACACTTAGAAACATTTTAAAATTTACAGATGTGGAGACATTTTGGCAAGAACTTAGTTCTTAGTAAATGTATTTCAAAATCTATCCTTCAGGATGTAGGACATTGTCTTTTACAAATGAGAGACTGTTTAAGAACACTCAGTGTAAGAGTTACAATAATTCTAAGCAGGAAAGAGAGAATGTTAGTATGAAAAATTGAGATGACTTCAGAGGAGTTGTGTTTTAATTGTGTTTAGGTCTTTTGGTGGTACAATGGTTTACTACTCAGCTATTAGCCAAAGGGCTGGCAGTATGAACACACCCAGAAGTACCTTGGAAGAAAAGGCCTAATGGTCATCTTTCAACAACTCACAGCCTTGAAAACTCTATAGAGTAGATCCCCCCTCTCTCTCTTTACACACACACAGCCAAATCTAGGACAAGTATTAGTCAAGATCAACATAATACAACTAATAATTACAAGAGCAGCAATGTTGCCAAATATTCTTGAAGATTTTACCTCATCACTTATGAAAGAGACATCGTATCTCTGGAGTGTGGTGGCAGCGAGGTGGCTGACTGGCCCTTCTCCTGACTCTGCATACTTCAGAAGCAGGGGAATGCCTTCAGGAAGCAGTGCGTTCTTCAGAGCCAACAGGTACATCATGGTGTCCTCTTTTTTCTCTGGCCTCTCAAGTCCTCCAAGGATTAACTTCTTGGCTTCAACCACTGCCTTAAAAATGAGGAAAAGAACAGATTAAAGGAGATATGTGATTGAGTATTATGGTTAGCACAGGAGTCCAGAATTAAAGTTGCATAGAGAAGTGTACTGGGGGGCGGGGGGGTTGTATACCAACGAGTGAACTTTTCTTTTTTCTTTTCAGAGAGGGGCATGAACTGGAGGGGAGGGATGGGCACAGAGAAGTGCAGTAATGAATGAATGGAAATCCAAAATCTCTATTA